GTTTATTTCTTAAAATTGTCAATACGACAGGTGTGACAATTTGGAACAACCAGTTTCTATCGGCGAGGGGCACCTCACGATGCTATTCATGTAATATACACAACAAAATTATATTTAACGTATATTTACCATTATATTATATCCACATTGCCATCACTACATACATTGATAGGACCTATTAGCATTAAATGCCTTACATAGAAACGCGTTTCCGAATTATACCTTAGCTTTTTACATTCTCAGCACTCGTCTTCCATACGCTAATATCAATTATTTGTTTAAAAATCAATTATGAACTTAAGTTTTTTTTTTTGTTTACCCTTCTGCATAGGGAAGGCAAAGGACTAAGTCTATACAGCCGTTGTCTTCCGTTAATTTCTGGTCTGAAAATTTATACCATTTTGGTATATTAGGGCAAATGTTGAAATTACATAATCATAAACAGATTTATATATTTCTTTGTTTCTTAATAAACTCTTAATGAAGCGGGATATCCATACTTTGATAGATGTAAGTATTATAAACTTAAGTTTGTCATAAATTATGTCACAAATATATATATATATATATATATATATATATATATATATATATATATATATATATATATATATATACTATTTACTTCATCGTGATTTGTTTAAATATGTACAGTTAATTATATATTTTAATACCACGCTGATTATATTAAGATAAAATTATGGTATTTTGATAATTTAATACAGGTATCTCCAAACTTTGAAGGCTTAGAACCATAATGATTTTACCAACATGTTTTAACGGCCAAAACAGTTTTAAGGGCAGAAAAATTCTACCCTTTACTATATTTCTAGAGAATAGGGCCGGACTGATGACACTAGTCTTCAGTCCGGCTTCATTCTAGCTGTTGCGTGCCGGATGGTACCGGCAGACCGAGTTTGGCTGGCGGGCCGTAATTTGGACATCCCTGATTTAATATACAGAAAACTAAACATGACAGAGAGACAAAACATCAACGATCGCTCCATAAATACTGACATTCTATAAACGAGGCATAATTTTTAAATTCCCGTAAAACTAATTTGTAACATTTTGAAAAAAAAAAAAAAATCTTTTATATCCAGCGTGTCCTAGAAAAAAACCAAAACTCTACAGGCATACAATCAGAACTGTATTGTTAACAGATCGTTGATTTACATCAATTTATATATATTAACATCTATGGCTTATTTCATGCGTCGCTTTTTTTAGCCTTCACAACACGTGGTATTCATATACCTTCATAGGTAGCTCTTATAGAGTTTATTTGTTCTATAGTCTACTATTAAAAGTGTTTGTAACTTAGTCTGATAAAGTCCAACTTGTATTGTCAAACAATTGTGCTAATTAAGTAATATCAATAAGTAAATTATTCTATCAACTGGTACGTTCATTAATCATCTTTATTCACCATTAATAAAGTTCATAATTGATTTGAAATGTTGCATAACAGCCCTTACCGATGTAAGACCATATTGGGCCAGATTCTGAGGTGTCACTTTTCTAAACCTATCTTTTAACCTAATATATTTAATTTGGTACTTTCTGTTTTATGTACCATCACAAACTAAATTGATAATAATAATCAAATTAAGTGCAATTAAAAATTAATAAAGTATTCACTGTAATTTCAAATAGAAATTTTAGAAACAGTTTAGAAAAACAGTGTCTCAGAATCGACCCTATTATTTGTCCCTTGTACCTTTCACACAAACTGTCGAGTGTTAACACTTGTTCGAAACAGTGCCTGCCCATTGTTAATATATGTGTCAACAGATCACAGGGAGAATTCGAAGTCATCAAAATCACTGGGGTACAAGTACATTATCTCACTGTATTTAAGTGCACATTTACATAACAGTGTCTGCATTATGAAGTGCCTCCATTCAATATGTTATAAATTAATCGATATGCAGACACTGTTGGCCGACTTCGAATCTCCAGTGCTATTCGCATCGGAGCTCTAACGATACGAATGGTTCGTAGTAAAGCCTCTCGCTCAATATAATTCACAATTATAATTTTTAAATGCTATAATTATCATACTTCTCCGATATTTAACGTCTTAACACTAATGTATTCTAAAATATATATATATATATATATATATATATATATATATATATATATATATATATATATATATATATATATATATATATATATATATATATATATATATATATATATATTAGTTCAGTTTTAGCATTGTTGTAACTTGGTCTAATATTATATTTTATACACCTAAACCAAGGAAGATTAAATGTTACGAGAAAGGACGCTCGCTCTAAACTAAATCACAAAATTTAAAAAGCCTAAAATACGCCGGATTACCAAACATGTGTGTTATATAAACATTGGTACACTAATATATAATATTCATTTACCTAATCACTCGTCTCTTATATATATATGTATATATCATGTAAATACCATCAAAGTATCATATTTAGTGTGTAAGTAACAACAAATAAATATATAACCAAATTTTAGTTAAAAAAAATTGGAATAAAATCAATATATTGAATGTAATGTATCAATTAAACTAATAACTTTAAATGTGCTTTAAATCACTCGAGTCATTGTCCTACTTTCTCATTATTTTTAGTGGAACACAGTATCCTGAGTTATTTTTTTTTTTTTTACAACACAGGGGGCAAACGAGCATGCGGCTCACCTGATGGTAAGTGACTACCGCCGCCCATGGTCACCCACAACAAGTTAATGAAGTACAAGTACATCGCATCCGCATTTTATCCCCTACATCCATTATACCTAGACTTGTATGTATGACGAAGAACATAATCTCGATGTACATTTAAATCCGGTTATAATATCCCAAAATAAATTAAAGGGAAATTTTATCAGCGGATAAAATGCACGACTTAAATACAAACCGAGTATGGGACAGTGTGTATTCTGCCTCAGTGTTAAAAACGTTTAAGAATAAAAAAAAATAACGTCTTATGACCTCCATACATGGTCAAGCGGCTCGACTCGAACATGGATATTTTACTGTTCGTAAGACAAAGATAGAACTATTCCGAAGATATCACCTTTATCTTACAAAAAGCGAAATATGCGTGCTCAATCAACCCGCATGACCGTCTACGGAGACCTTAACGTCGTCGTATTGTGCTCTCTCATGAAAAACGTGTTGATCAAGGACAGTTAACATTAGCGATTCGATCCACAGGGCATGCGCAGTAAATTTTACGTAAAAAAATTCAATAACTGTGCATATGTATGATTTTGTTCAAATTGTTCACCGTGAAAAATTACAAAATTATGCGATTGTCTTATTCCGTTTGGATGTTTAAACACATCAGCAAACGAAGCGTCATTAGCTATATCTAGAACTAAGATTTCAGTTTGATATTTCTAAATACCAATATAAAATAAAACCTTTCACGTCTTATTACGAAGTTAAGTAAAAAATATGTCATAATAGGAAACACATTTTTTTCTTTATTAAGTGATGTATTATGTAGAATATGAATCAAAATTTATAACAGAATTTTTTTACAGGATCCAACTTAGTTATTGACGATCCGTAAATACAATGTACTTTTTCTAAAATTAAATTTTTAGAAATAATTTAAGGGAACTGAAGCGCAGTATTGGTTATTTTTTTCAAAGGCAACTAAACATTTATAAAGACCTTGTCATTTTAAAACATCGAATGTTCAAATAAGACTAAACAAAAAATGATTACGCTACATTTTTTTTAAATCAAACGCGTCATTATATTTTCGTCCAGATCAATCGAATCGGCGTCAATTTATAGCTTAGCTCATAAATTATTACGATGAGAATCATACGCGGGACGTTAGCAGTGCAAAGCGACTCAATTGTAAAGATAAACGGATTGACTTATATGTATTCATGTCGATAATTCTCGACCCGGATTGACTTAGGTGTATTTTTGTCGATAATTCTCGACCCCGATTGACTTAGGTGAATTTTTGTCGAGAATTATCGACCCGGATTGACTCGGGTGTATTTTTGTCGAGAATTATCGACCCGGATTGACTCGGGTGTATTTTTGTCGAGAATTATCGACCCGGATTGACTTAGGTGAATTTTTGTCGAGAATTATCGACCCGGATTGACTCGGGTGTATTTTTGTCGATAATTTTCGACGAGATGTGGGACGATGCCTCTTTACAATGAAAATGTAATATATAAATGATTTTTTTAGGTAAATAATAATGTAAGCAATATAAAATACAATGAGTGCGGCATATTTGGTAAGCCAGCCTTTTTTGATCGATTAAATTCCATAAATAAAGCTTAAGATTCATATTACTAATATTCACAACTGGTCACACAAAAAGTACATGAGTAAATACGTGTGCAGACACCGAAATATGTTATTAGTAATTTCAAATTGTATATATTTAAAATCAACAAGTGGAGTCCTCTCTTACAAATTGGTACTATTGGAAACAAAACTAACAGTCGTGGGAGGAAAAAACCAAAGGGAATAAAAAAAATCAGATATATATATATATATATATATATATATATATATATATATATATATATATATATATATATATATATATATATATATATATATATATATATATATATATACCATATTTATTTCATTTAAACAACAGCCCCTTATGTGAATTAAGAAAAAGAGAAGGGACCTATCCCATAAGAATAGAAAGGAACTAATACTCGTGACCCGGAGATAATGGGTTTCACCCCGAGGCCCCAGTCAAGTACGTGAAATAGTAAAGTCCGTAAATAATACCTACTTTAGTGCTTGCGATTTTATTTCAATACAATTTTTTTTTTATTATTTATTTATAAACTATAATTATCTTTAGGTCGAGGGATGGGCAGCAGCGTCCCTCTTAGAACATCACCAAATGCCTGACTGCAAAATAAGTAAACCAAATTATAAAAACTATTGAGGTCAGAAGGGAGAAAATTTTGGAACACTTTATATAGGACACTATGTAGTGTCCTATATAAACATTATAATAGAAGGGATAGAGGGAGACCAAGGTATAGTAACATCAGGTAAATCAATGAAAAAATAGGTCGTACCAAGAGGTGAAGAGACTCGCTGAAAATCGTAATGAGCGACAAGAGCTCCAAAGACAAGAGCGATGCTCTTAAATATGTTTTTTTTTTTTAATTTTAATTATGTCTTAATTGTTCCAGTCCGCACTCGTATTGACTCATATTCTAAACTACAGGCGACATTGACAGATAGCAGGTATGTGGGATTTGTGATCGTAATACAAAGGATATATACACCAACATTACACATGTCTATATACGTGAATAGAGAACTTTCCAGATATTTCCGGGCAGATTTTTAAACGATTGCCATCCATAGTACGCAAAGAAAAATTAACGAGAATTATTCAGATTTTGTTGCGAAAAAAATCTACTTAGTGACAATTATTAACATGTAACTACTAAAGCAGTAAACCTTGACAATTAAAAGAATCATCAATATCGACGCAGTATAGGCGAATATACGCCAGAACAAAAATCATGGGCATCATCAGGTCAAGACGTGATCATTCTATAAAAACTAATATCATCATTTCTACATAAAAAAAAAACCAAGTCCAACATCAATTTTAACATTAATAACGGGACCAGCCTGAATACAAATTACATTAATAAAAAAATAATCATTAAAATTTACCTGACAAATCGAATGAAATCCTATTTTTTTAACGTCTGTAACACGGACTTTATTCTAAAAATACTTTTGTAATAAATTTTACACAGTTTGCTAAAATAAAAATAGTTAAAAAAAAAATCACATGCACCTTTAGATTTTTATATTCGCAAAAAAAAGTAGTCCAGCAGAAATTCTAGAAAACATGGCAATCTATGTAAAATAATTAATTACATAATATTTATAATAGACTTAGTTAAAATACATACTTTTTTTTTTTACATTCAAAAGGTATTTTGGTGTCATTTCACTAATACTAGGAAGCTAAAATTGTCAAAAAACAGGGTTAAACATACGTACCAACAGCGATATATATATATTTGTTTTATTGTAAATTTTACTAGAAACTTCGAAGTTTAGGTCTTATTTGTACTCCGATTTTGTCCTTAATTCGGTCACGTAGTACGCATTCGAAAATCACTTCATTACCATAATCACTTCCTATGTTTATTAAATAATGTAATATTAGTACAGTGCAGTTCAGTATTATATAGAAAATAACTTGAGAACGTGATCCAAAAAAAAGAGACTTTTAAGTCCAACACCAAATCTACTATTGTGATGTAAAAACTAAACTAGGTTTTCAAATACAGCGAACGCTCTATATAAGCAATCTCTCTATAACCAACATTCTTTATATTTTATTTATTCTACTCAGCTTAGTAAAAGAAATAAGTAAAAATATTTTCCAATATTTTTAAACTCCTTTTTTCACCTATAAGTAACTTTTCCCAATAAGATTTTTTTATTAAAATTGATTCGAATGAGTTGCCTATATAGAGCGTTCACTGTAAAAAAATTCTATGGAGCCAACTGAAAGTTATATCCTTTCAGATAAAAAAAAACCCCCTAATCGATTTATTAATAACGGAGTAATGGTAACAAATATAAAAAAAAAAAATACAACCCAATTGAAAACTACCTACTTTTTTGGAAAGAAAACTCTACTGTTCCCCCTCAAAGCAAGATAGTTATTATAAAAATATGTACACAAAATGAAAACAATTATTTGCATCCTTTTAAAGTATTCTAACGGTGATACAGGGAACGGGGGGGGGTAGTAATGGGATCTACCAGCCCCATTACTAGCAATAAACCCAATCAGGTCAACCTCCACGCGGTTCTTGGAGACCATCGTCATTAATTCCAGTCGAATTCGTCACGATAGGCTAGCCAATTGACCTGCTTTCGTCATCGCCCATTGTCCCTCACTGGTACCTCGCCTGTGTAAAAGGATAACGCAGGCGAGGTCACCATTCCATTATTAGCCATTAAAAAAAAGCAGTTTAACTGCACAAAGAAACATAGATAGAAATACCAAATATTTCATACCTAACGACAATAGGTAGGTCGAATTTTTTTTTCTTTTTCGACCATTTTTTTTTTAATTTCCTAATTAAGTAGTCATCTGCCCAATATGTAAATATAATTTTTAACTTATCATAACCCACAATATATTATTTTAGTAATTTTTTTTATTAATACTCTGTTACTTGTAAACTTTGTCTAATACATCCCTTTTAGGGATGAATTCCCATACATCTTTTCTTAATACTCACTTATTTAATTATAAATAAACACAACTGGGCATTGTACAATGCGCCATCTAGTACCAAAACAATGAAACAACTGAGAGACACACTTTTTTGTAAATATATATAGAAAAACAAACAGATGCACTAATGGATATTTTTATTGTATGAAGATCAAATCTGAGAATATCGAAAAATTAAAGAAAAAAAAGTAAGAAAAAAGTCGAACATAATTTGGACTCATTTTCGCACTAAGCCTCTCATTCGGGTAAGTCGTGGCTAGTACAGCCAGTGAAGCTACACCCAAAAGCACAAAAGCTTCCTGGCATCATCACAGGCCTCACGGAGCGACATCACTGTTCTGAGGATTTCTAAACTTTGAGTAGCCCCAGCTACATGTTCCAGGATTACGTGAACAACCATTTACTGAGCGTCAAAACAGTCTCGACATAGAGGCTTGTCTGTGGCTGCTATTGTGTATAAATATTTATTTAAAGGGTAATGACCCGTGAGGCAGTATTCTAAACTACTGGAATACCATAGACTACGTCCACAAGGAACGCCCAGGCAAAATTGCATGCTTGTAGACATATCGATTTAGCAGAGGATTATCTGAAAATCAGGTTAGATACCTGTAATCAATATAAAAAGTAAGTTTGTTACCTCTTAACGTCTAAACAAGGGAATTGATTACTTGGATAGGATAGAGGTAGTCATAGGACATACTTTATGTCCCGGTCATCCCGACAATCCCGGACATGCGGACGAAGGCGCGGGTAAAAGCTAGTTATAAATAATTGAAATAAATAAGATACAGAAAGCTTAGACACTGCGCCCACAGCTCTTTCACTCGAGGCCTCGAACTCAAAATGAAAAATTCGAAATTTAAAAAAAAAATGTAGCAAAATGAATTATTTGAATTTTCTCCACAAAACGAGTAATATTTATAAATAAAAATTAAAAAAAAAGATAAGGAACTGCACTGTAGTAATATCGTTGATAAAAGTAATTGTGTGATATATAACATAAACCGTAGTGTGTATTTCTGTATGATCACTAAATAATGTCTATACAATTAGGATTGTGATGTTAAAACACTTTTATCGATTACCAATCGATAAAAGTCGAATATAAAGAGAGAAAAACTGAAATTTTATTTCAATTTTGTCCCCCTTAAAAAAATTTTACAAGAGCTAAAAATAATCCCTCTATACGTTAATTAGTACTCGATTAATCACTAGTTACAATGACGAATATTTCAGTAACGTTTACCGATATATCTGTAACGATGGCCGTACACGCTGCGACAAATCGCTGCGATTTATCCTTTTAATTCGAAATCGTAGATCAACGACAAATCGTATCTGTATAAGGAACTGACATTTTCCCTCGCCCATATACAATTGATCGTTAATTGTACAGATTAAAAATATGAATTTGTCGCATCGTGTGTAGTCTCGTTTTATTACGTGAAGTGTACACACAACAATATATTGTCCCAACACGCCTGCAACTTGCAAACATACCTATATATTTTAAGTATATCTGTCGTATTATATACTAACATTTACCATGCTTTTTTTTTTTAACTAATAAAAAAAAATGTTTTTTCATTGCACTCAATATTTGCAAAATACTGGCAGCTTCAGAATTTTTACAACTACGCTACACACAAAAAGGCCATTACACCTCTCTTAATTTTATTTAAGGGCAGTCGAAAAGGCCTTATTGTTATTTTAAAAAAATTTTGAAGCTGGCCACACACAGAAAAAAAGTTAAATCGACATATGTCAAAGAGAGGGCGCAGGGCCCTCGAGTCCAAACAAATATGCCACTTCACTTAGCGTAAAACTTAAAATGTACCACACAAACTTGTATCCACTTAACCCCACAGTTCCAAGGCCGTCCGTAATAAACTAAACTCACTGTCTTCATACGTCCAATTAGCATTACAATTCAATTAATCACTCATTCCAATTATTGCCAAGATACTATCAAACGTCCCATTTTAGGTGAATGTGGAATTGTCCTTAGATTGTCGCACGTTCTATATTTAAATTCAAATTTCCGTTGAGCTCTTTTAGAATGTAGCACACAGCATGATCCCATACATTATTTTACTGTCACTATAAACGATGGGAGACCGTGTATTTACATGGTAATACATTTAGTCTCCCCTATAGCGTCTAAATCGAAGCATTTCTAATTCCGACATAACGTATCCTTCTCCACTGATCCCTTTAAACCATCACTTAACTTATTTCATATCAAGAATATAGATCCATTACAATTTACTCACAAAGAATACGTTATGCATAACTCACTAAAATTCCTAGGACAATTCCACCCCATAGGGCAAAGTGAACGTATGCATTAGGTGCGCGGTATATTCCGAGCGTACTTGCGAGTACTCTAGTGCGACGTCGGTGCGACGTCGGTGGGACGTCGGCGTGACGTCACCGCGACGTTAGCGCGACGTCAGCGCGGCGCTAGTGCGGCGCGTGGTGACGCGCAGTCACGCGAGCGTCGCGGGCCGTCAATATGCGCGTCGTTCCTCCATATCAGACATCTGCAAATTAATTCGATGACATCTGTAAAATGTACTAACATTATTTAATAATAAGTTTGTAACGATGGATGGATGAATTGAATGGATTTGAATGAACTTAGAACACGTAATATTTTATGTACTGAATCACGCTGGCAAAGATTGGACAATTTATTTTGCAATTTTAAATAAAAAAAAATTACATTTCACAAAACTTTGGAGAAATGTAAAAAGTAGGCTTGGGGAAATTTGAGCATTTTTTGTGGACAGTTTCGGTATTTGTAAACTGTACAGAGATAGATAAATATAATCTATCTATACTTATAATAAATCTGTATAGAGGTCAATTCTGTACATGAAATATATTTCCAAAATAACTATCAGGGGGTGATCAGTGACCGATACTGATGCCAAAAATGCAATCAGTAAAATTTTTGTCTGTCTGTATGTTAGTTATAGAAACAAAAACTACTCGACGGATTTTAACGAAACTTGGTACGATTCTTTATACTCCTGGGCAGGTTATAGTATACTTTTCATCACGCTACGATCAATAGGAGCAGAGCAGTGAAGGGAAATGTTGGGAAAAGGGGAGAAGTTACTCCATTTTTAAGCTTCCGTCGCGTGTGCAGCCTTAATGGCCACTTTTTAAAATGTAAAAATGTCCAATGCACCGTGCGACACCGGGACAGTTAAATTAAGTATGCTATGTGTGTTAAAATATATGAATAATTATATAGCATTATATATATATATATGTAATAAGAGAAAGAGAGGGTGAAATAACGCAAAAGTAGAAAAAGAAAGGAATGGTATTTTATCCATTATTCACTTTGTGGTACATGGCCAAATTAAATTAAAAACGATACAAATTTGTAATTGGGTAAAAGTCCTGACAATTGTATCGATATAGAGAAAAAAATATTAACGTTTAGGTAAAAATCTAAATTCACATCTGACAACCCTGTGTGTTTTTTTTAAATGATGATAATGGAATGGTAACCCCACCCGCGCTATCGGTATACACCGGCGGGGCACCAGTGAAGTATGATAGGTGAGGATGAAGCAGGTCAGTTAGCCCATCGTGACGAATTCAACAAGAATTGTTCACTATGGCTTCCAGGGGGAACCACGTGGAGGTCGACCTAATAAGATATACTGCTAGCAATGGTGCTGTCAAACTCCATTGCTTACAATCCTTTTCCCCCAAACCCTGTGTGTTAAGTCCGCATACGTTGCGTGCGTTGGTAACGTGTGCGTGCGTGGGTGTGCGTGTACGTGCGTGCGTGGCGTGCGTACGTACGTTGTGCTGGCGCGCGCGCTTGTGCGGCGGCTCGGGCGGCGCCTCCTCGATGACCAGCTCGCCGCCCAGCGAGCACGCCTCCTCCGCGACCGAGCTGCCTCCCCCGCCGCCTCCTCCGCCGCTGCCGCTGTACCCACCACTGGAAACCGTACATATCACCGTCTCAGCTCATTCATCCTGCCTAATTACAATCACTTCCTCCTCTATAAACAATATAGAGGAAGAAGAGAGAATACAAATCTTGTCTCTAACAATATAATATTACACTCCGTCAAATTTACATTACAGCCATTGGAAAACGTAGTGGCTAAGTCCTGATGAATTCATCACAAATTGTGATTATGTCTTGTAATTGCTTATATTTATAATAAGTTTACTATTGTAATCTTTTGGAGGAAACAATAAAGAGTATCTATCTATCTATCATCACACTCGTCACCTCACTTATCATCTCTCACTAACCTGACAGCGTATACTGACAGTACAAATAGTGCTGCTATTTTTTTTATACCACTGAAGTAGCAAACAAGCATACGGCCCACCTGATGGTAAGCGGTTACCGTAGCCTATGAACGCCTGTAATACCAGGGGTATTACGCGCGCATTACCGACCCTAAAGAAACCTTTGAACCCGCTTTTGAAGAACCCCATGCTGTAGTCTCATTGGAAAACTTCGGCAGGAAGCTCATTCCATAACCTGAGTGTTCATGGGAGAAAACATCTCTAAAACCTGATTGTACGTGACCATCTAGGCTGTAAAGTATAAGGGTGAACTCCCTGTTGATGGCGAGCCATGCTATCCAAAATTATCTAAATCCAGAGAACAAGATCTATTATGTTACTACCAAATATTTATTTATTTATTCATAGGAACACCAACAGTATATTGCATTATAACATTTGTGAAATACATTAAATACAATATTAATGCACGTGCCATATTAAATGTATTCACAGCATTTACTTTAACATAATTATACAGTACTTAAAATTACATACATACATATCTGTCACGCCTGTCTCCCATTAGGGTAGGCAGAAACAATGGAACGCCAAATGCTTCGATTCAAACAAACCTCTTTCGCTTCCTCCACATTCATCAATCTTTTCATACACGCTCGCCGGTTACGGGTACTTTTAATTTGGCCCTTCTTCAGCACGTCGCCTATTTGGTCGACATACGTCCGTCTAGGGCGGCCCCTACCGACATCTCCATTCATTCTTGCTCGATAAATCTCTTTCGTAATTCTTCTTTCATCCATCCTCTCCAAATGACCAAAAATTACTTAAAATTGTTACTAAAAAAGATAATAATTCAGTAAACCTAAGAGGCGTAACGATCAGGACGGCAACGAATCGGGAAATGATTATTTTGCATTATAATCATCGTCCTGACGAAATGCCCCATCTCAGGTTTTTTTTTATGCAACTTAGAATGGCAAACAAGCTGACGGCCCACCTGATGGAAGATGGTACCTATCGCCTACAGACATAGGCAGTACCATGGACATGATCCGCTATCATTTGAAGGGTTGTGTTGTCAAGTTTGTGTGGTGACACTTACGCATAATACGGCGAGTGCTGGTGTATGACGACATTCGCCGGCACCTCCTCCTCCTGTATGGAGACCAGGTTGCCCACGGAACTAGTACCGACAACGTACTTTTCTGTAACACAAAATAAACAAATATATATTCAAAATAGAAAAATATAAAATCAAAAACTATATTATTACTCCCCAGAGGGTTTTACTGCCATGTGACGTAATAAGACGTCTTTGCTTTTATACAGAATGCATGGCAATGTATATACATATAGCAGAGTGGTATTTGGAGGGGTTAAAAAGCCTATCTTATATGAATAAGAATAGGATTTTCTATGCGTAACCTGTCGAATTCAATAAGCCACCAGAGGAAGACTGTACAAAAGTCGATTGCTTGGGTACCTCTGTCCCATTCGTGTTTCAACCGTGAAGCAGCTGTTTCGGTTTGTTGTGCTGTTTGCATGGCTGTGTTTCAGTTTGAAGGGTGGGATATGGCGTGAATTTACTGGATACAGAGGAATAACATCTGAGTCCTCAGAAATGGCAACGCATGGGGGGTATCATGGGAGAAACAGTATACTCTGTTATGTTCATGGTATTGCTCATGTCTATAGGCGACGGTTACCACTTTCCATCAGGTGGACCGTCAGCTTGTTTGCCATTCTAAGTTGTATAAAAAAAAGCCTCCCACACTCTCTTTAAAATGGCGGATGGGAGAAAAATCTATTTTCAAAACAAGGAAAAGAGGACAAGTAAACATGGTGGTGACCATGCAAGTCTTGGACCCGCCATTACAGTGAAGAGACGGAACACCGTGTGCTTTCAGCTGATAGTAGTCCAGCTGTATCTACTCGTCTCTCCATTAGACATGGTGATGGGGACGGATTTCTCCACGTAAAATAATAATGCGCACCTTCCCGCTCGCCGCCGGCGCCATTAGTAACGACGGTGATCTGGTGGCCGGCCATCACGAGCCCGCTACCACCAGAGTTGTACGCCAGCCCGTGACCTGGATAATATATTTTTTGTTTAATATTAATGCTTACCAAAGGGAGACTGTACAAAAGTCGTTTGCTTGGGTACCTCTGTCCCATTCATGTTTCAACCGTAAAGCAGTGGTGTTTGACGCCTATAGACATGAGCAGTACCATGGACATAACAGAATATACTGTTTCGCCCATGAAACCCCCCATGCGTTGCCATTCCTGAGAACTCGGGTGTTATTCCTCTGTACCCAGTAAATTTACGCCATATCCCACCCTTCAAAGCGAAACACAGGCATGCAAACACAACTGCTTCACGGTTTAAACACGAATGGGACAGAAGTACTAAAGCAATTGACTTTTGTACAAAGTCTCCCTCTGGTATAAGTATATAGTAAGTATATAGAACACTAATAAAAAAACGAGTCAGCTAATTTGACAATTAGCCGACAAAAAGTTGACCCGTTTTTGAGGCTCGATGCTCTATCTATATAATCTAAACAGACTATATACATTATTTTCTGTCTACAGAAGCCTGAGCTGATCCAAATAACAGAGTATGTATCAGTAACAGTACCAGGTGATCCTGGTGCACTCTGACTGACGCCGCTGCGCTGCGGGAAGAGATACTGCGTCGACTGACTGTTGCTGTTATTCAATCGCTGCTGACTTGCCTGCGAACACGAATAATAATATTATAAGTATGCATGTGACCATGTGGTCCCGTCATAGAATAGGCCATCCCTTCCAGTCCCGTGGGTGTCGTAAGAGGCGACTAAGGAAGCTTAATGGTCGAGTGGTAAGGGTAAAAGCGTTCCACTTAAAAGGTCTGTTAAAATATTTTGGTTTAAAATTGCAACTGTTAATTACAACAATAAGAGCAAAGGACCGGAAAAAGATGGATGCTCTCGAGATATGGTGATGGCAAAGGATGCTGCGAATTCCCTGGACAGCAAAGCGCACGAACATATCCGCCCTGGCGCAACTCCGAATAAAAGATAGGCTCTCCTCAACAGTCTACTATCGGAGCATTCTCGGCTACTTCGTTCATATTGCTCACCGACAGTCCGACAATCTGGACAAGCTAATGGTTGTAAACAAGATAGAGGGAAAAAGACCACGCGGACGATCGCCTAGTCGATGGTCGGACCAAGTGACCGCCATTACGGGACTGTCTGTTGCAGCTGCCCTGCGGGAGGCTAACGAACGTGCGAAATGGAGTAACATTATAAGAGAGACAACAGACACCTTTCAAGGGACCTTCAGTAATGAAGTGGACGAAGAGAGAGAGAGATAGAAAGAGAGATTTTAGTTAACTTCAGTTAAAAATACAAAAAAATTATATACAAAGTAATCTTAATAAAGCGGTTCTTGTTAAGTGTTAGGATTGAGTGGAAACATCTCAATTAAATTATCTGTGAATTTTTAAATATTTAGTTTTTTTTCTAAATATTTCTGGCTGATTACTTTAAAAATATATAATGACGCTCATCAGAATGACCTTGACATATTTGGACTCAATTATTATCAATTTAGCAAACAATTGTATAAAATAATGTAATATTTAGAAATTTCTTATATAATTTTGTTTTGTTTTTTATTTAACTTTCTTTATGTTTATGTTTATTATTATGTTTAATTTTGTTGCAGTCGCATTTATTATTGGATCATGCCGTGTGCACATGTTGTGGCAAGTTTACCTGATACCTATTATGTACTTGCATGTTATAATTTAAGTTTGTATTTGTAAACTTCTGTTATGGGCGCCTAATAAATAAAATAAAACAAATAAATAAAATAAAATAAATAAATAAAATAAAATACTCTGCTACCGAACCAGAAAGTTAATCACAGAATACGTTACATATAAATGTACTGCTAAAAACTTTGCATCTATTTACTTAAATAACTTTAAAACTATTTGTCTTAAAGTACCATATAAAAAAAAATATGATTCTCACAATAATCCCTTCCATTTGATATATCACACACACATTATCAATAGAGTTTGCTAAATCAATCCAATAGTTTGGTAGCAAAATGACTGTGATAAACAGACGGACAGAGCCACACGAGTGATCCCAAATAGCTTCCGTTTCCTTCCTTTTTGAGGTATGAACTTCCAGAAACAGCAAGTGTTACCTGGTGCTCGTGCTCCTCGCCGGACAGCAGGTCGGGCGTGGGCTCTCGCGAGAGCTCCTCGGGCGTCACCAGCCCCGACACACCCACCTGCGACGGGGACGTCGGCGCGCTCCTGCCAACAACATACAAACACTTCAGTTTTTTATTTTTTTTATACCACGAAGGTGGCATACGAGTGTACAGCCCGCCTGATGGTAACCACCTAACACTAGGGATGTTGGGGGGAAGGCATTGTTAGTAATAGAGACTACCAGTCCCATTGCTAGCAATACACCCTGACAGGTCGATCTCCATTGCCGTCGGAGATGTGGTGAGTGCGATAGCGAACCCATGTCTCCGACATATGACATCTCGAAGGTATATCGTCTGGTTTCTGGTGGGTACACCCCCGTCTAACAGGGGGATTCTCACTGTACCCATTCACTTCCCACAAGGTGTATGGGTCTGCATAAACCATTTTCCAGACGTTAAAAAAAAAGTCGATCTCCACGCAGTTCCCCCTGGAAACCATCGTGGTTAATTCCTGTTGCTTTCGTCACGATGGCGTAACTGACCTGCTTTCATCCTCACCTATCATCCCTCACTGGCGCCCCGCCAGCATATACCGGTAGCGCAGGCGAGGTTACCATTCCATTATCATCCGTTAAAAAATATAGGTATTTTATGTAACTTTTTATCTTATTCTTACTACACTAATATAACGTTGTATAGTTAAAATTGTGTTCAACAAAAAAACCGTCTTTAACCATCATCAAACCTATTTGGACATATGGGATACAGCTTTGGGGTTCAGCCAGTAACAACAACCAGAGGGAGACTTTGTACAAAAGTCGATTGCTTGGGTACCTCTGTCCCATTCATGTTTTAACCGTAAAGCAGTTGTGTTTACATGGCTGTGTTTCGGTTTGAAGGATGAGATATGGCGTGAATTTAGAGGGTACAGAGGATTAACACCTGAGTCCTTAGGAATGGCAACGCATGGGGGGTATCATGGGCGAAACAGTATAATACTCTGTTATGTCCATTGTACTGCTCATGTCTATAGGCGACGGTTACCACTTTCCATCAGGTGGGCCGTCAGCTTGTTTGCCATTCTAAGTTGTATAAAGAAAAGAAAACTCTGTAATGTCCACAGTACTGCTCATGTCTATAGGCGACGGTTACCACTTTCCATCAGGTGGGCCGTCAGCTTGTTTGCCATTCTAAGTTGTATAAAGAAAAGAAAACTCTGTTATGTCCACAGTACTGCTCATGTCTATAGGCGACGGTTACCACTTTCCATCAGGTGGGCCGTCAGCTTGTTTGCCATTCTAAGTTGTATAAAGAAAAGAAAACTCTGTTATGTCCACAGTACTGCTCATGTCTATAGGCGACGGTTACCACTTTCCATCAGGTGGGCCGTCAGCTTGTTTGTTGTTGCTTGTTGTGTTGCTATTCTAAGTTGTATAAAAAAAAATGTAAAAATACTGGAAAGGTTCCAAAGTAAGACAATAAGAAACATGCTTAATATACCACAATATATAAGTAATAAACTTATGTATATGGACATCAAACTGAAGACGGTAAAACAGAGAATCGAAACATTCAGCAAAAATTATCAATCCAGATTGAATTTCACCAATCAAAATTTAAAAAAAAAACCAGTTAACGTGAATTAAAAACTAAACTACTGTACCAATTTTGATAAAATTTCTACACGATCAGTCTGTAAGTATATCCTTTCAGATAAAGAAAAAAAAATCGCAAATCGGTTTACAACTGACGGAGTTATGAAGCGACAAGTGCCAAAAAATTCAAACGAATCGAGAACCTGCTTATTTTGAAGTCGGTTAATAATAAACAAAACGTGGTAAATGTAATTAGTATTGTACTGCTGATGTCAAAAATACGTTGATAACGCTTATCGCGCTTCGTACACAAACATAGTTTTTTTTTTTTTATTAATATGTATTGGTCGGTAATTAGATTTACTACAAGTACTATGTCGTATGTATATTCCTTAGTACTTATATATCAAATTCAATTATATATATATATATATATATATATATATATATATATATATATATATATATATATATATATATATATATATATATATATAATAAAATCGTAGCTGGTTACTGTCTGTACGTGGGAGATATATAAGAAAAACTATTATAGGGGCCTTCATGAACGCAAAAGAACCCAAATTTAGAATTTTCGTCTGTCTGTACGTTTGTGCGCGCTTATCTCGAAAACGGCTTAACCGATTTGAATGCGATTTTTACTAATGCGTAGCGGCTTACTCCACTTAACATTCAGTGTTTGTTTTATTTCAATCGGTTCATAAATAAAAAAGTTATATCAATCTAAAGAATCACATATAAAATGCTATAAAATAACCGATTAGTTGAATTTGCTGAAACTTTATGGAGGTATTAAGTACATAATTATGATTTAAATATATATAATATAAGACCGGATTCATGAAGAGTTCCAATGGGAATGATATACGGTAACTACATAGAAGCGGGCAATGCCGCGGGAAACGACTAGTATAGAATAAAATATTAAAATTTGTTACATCAGAGTATTTACATAACAACATGACAAATATACATACACAACTAGCGACTTGTCCCGACTTCGCACGAGTATGCGAACGTGACGCAACGTTTCACAAGTGTCAAAACCACATCTAATTCGGTACAGTAGTTTTTGAAGGAAAATACGGACTGATAAAATTAAAAATTATACAATTTTAGCCTCTATTACTCATATTATAATTTCACATATTAATTTCTATTTATTTATTAAACGAGTTTACTATTATTTATTTATTTATTTAACACTTAATTGCACCAACATAACATGATTTGTTAAAACAATTTTCAATACGTATAGTGTAGTACAAAAGGCGGTAACTATTGTAATCTTTTGGAGGAAACAAAGAGTACCTATCTATCTATCTATATTTAATACACCTAGACAATGTAAATGGCGGACTTCGTAGCGGTTTACATACGACAAAACAAACACACACATACACACACGATATGTTTACACACAAACAATCGGCTATCTCGTATTGGGTGTATCAATGAACGTGCCCGGGGACACGGCGCCGATAATCACCCGCAATGACGGAGGAAGGTCGTTCATTCATCACTGGTGTTAGAAACATGGGCGTGCAGATAATATGTAGCCATCGACGTAACCTTGTACTGAATAATAACAGCTGATTATTTGTTACTAATTTTTTTTTATGCAACTTAGAATGGCAAAGAAGCTGACGGCCCACCCGATGGAAAGTGGTAACCGTCGCCTATAGACATGAGCAGTATCATGGACATAACAGAGTATACTGTTTCGCACATGATAACTCCTGTACGTTGCCATTCCTGAGGACTCGGTTGTTATTTCTCTGTACCCCGTAAATTTACTGCCATATCCCACCCTTCAAATCGAAACACAGCCATGCAAACACAACTGCTTCACGGTAGAAACACGAATGGGGCAGAGGTACCCAAGCAAACGACTTTTATACAAAGTCTCCCTTTGGCGAATGGAATTTGTTTTTTGATATTCAAACAATCTTATTTATTTGTTTAAATACATTAGTATCTTCAGGAATCCTTAATGTCCTCAGGAATGGCAACACATGGGGAGTATCATGGGCGAAACAGTATGCTCTGTTATGTCCATGGTACTGCCCATGTTTATAGGCGACGGTTACCACTTTCCATCAGGTGAGCCGTCAGCTTGTGTGCTATTCTAAGTTGTCTTGTCTGCCTTTTACCTGGACGTGAGTCCGAAAGGTGCTCGGAACTGTACGCCGCGCGGCCGCCGCGGCCTAAAAGCGAGTTCAATGAGCTTGCCCTCGCTCTGCGGGTCGATGCGCCAGAAGCTGCCCTTGCCGGGCTCCTCCTGGCTGCGCGGCACTTTGATGAAGTATCTGGAAATATTTTGGTTGGCTTACAAGACTTTTGCTTTGTATAAAAGTCGCGTGAATGGTAGAGATGGGTAACATTATTACCGTTCCGGTATCTATATATTGGGTTGCTCTGAACATTGATGGCGATAGGAAATCATCGTTCATTTCCATATTGCCTACAGTTACTTCGGTATGATATTATGTGATAACTGTGATTTAATATATTTGTTATTAAATCAATATATATGTAGATACTATACCTACAATATATACATATTGCTATTATATTAAACATCTCTAGTGCTTGGCTACCTTTATAGGTAAGGATGAAAGGGAGTCAGTTAGCGCATCATGACGAAACCTGCAATAATTTACCACGATAGTTTCCAGGGAGAACAGCATAGAAGTCACCCTGATAGGGTATAATTGCTAGCAACTGGGTTTTTAGACATCATCACTAATAACCTACCCCCCCCCCTCCGCGATGTCGTACTTGCTAGTCCCACGCCCGAAAGGGAGGAATTGTTAATAATGGAGACCAAGGGCCATGTTGCTAGCAATATCCAGGTCGTCCTCCACGTGGTCCCTCCTGGAAACCATCGTGCTGAATTCCGAGTGTATTCATCACGATGGGCTAGCTGACCTATCTTTTCATCCTCACCTATCATCACTCACTGGTGCCCCGGCAGTGTATACCGATAGCGGAGACGGGGTTACCATTCCATCATCACCCATTAAAATAATATCTGTATTGTACTTATTCAAATAAAAAAAAGACTGTTTACAAGCACTTTTAAATCGCAATTTTTTTTTATCTTCTATAGAATACGGATGGTTGTTATCTGTTGAGAAGAGCCTACAAGAAACTCAACAGTTACTCTTTTAAATCTCTGTTAACATTATATGTATTTATTTATTTATTTATACTTTATTGTACACAAAAAATTACAAACATATAATATATATTAAATAAAGATGTACAAGAGGCGAGCTTAACTCTGTAAGAGTTCTCTTCCAGCAAACCCTGAGTGGAAAACAGCATTAATTACCAACGGGCAGTATTTATTTACTATGAATGTATTTATTTACTATGAATGTATTTATTTACTCACCTATTGAGCGACAAATTATGACGTATGGAGTTCTGCCAGCCTTTGTCGGCGGTGCGATAGTACGGGTAGTGCTTGGTAATGTAACTGTAGATGCCGCTGAGGGTGAGCTGCTTGTCGGGCGCGGAGGCGACCGCCTGCACGATGAGCTGCGCGTAGCTGTACGGCGGCTTGGCGTCGTCGCGACCCTCGCGCCCCTCGCGGCCTTCGCGCGACTCACGCGCCTCCCGCACGTCGCGGGTACTGCTGTACCCGGAGTCCGACGTCGTGGACGACACCTGAGGCACAAGGGAATACACGTATGTAAACGACGCAGATACATACAGTGTATTGTAAATGTTAAGAACCTACTTGGTTCAATGGCAGACGATATACAACACAGCAGCTCCTGTCAAAAATAAAGGAAAAAAATACTGATTACCCTTTTGTTAATACTATGAATATTGCTAACTGACTAATATTAACTAGTGTAGGTAAACCAAATCCTGCTCTTGGTCTACCGTCAGCTTGTTTGCCATCCTAAGTTGCATAAAAAAACCTTTTTAAATAAAAATATATAATTAAATACGTGTTCTGCACATATTCAGTTTCTCACAAAAATATGGCACGTCCAGCTGTCTAATTAATACTAGTGGCTCAAGATATATTACATTTCTTCTATAGAAAACTCAAATAAAAGGACGCCAATAAAATAAATTTTAATTTGCACATTGATAATCAAATTCGTTCTGGCTGTATCCACACACATTTCATGCAGGAACTACGAGAACTTCGAATCGAAAAGTTGAAGTCTCAGTTGAACTAAAGAAACTGTTTTTAACAGAGGGTACACAAAAGTCATCTGCTTGGGAACCTCTAATCCATTCGTGGTTCTACCTTAAAGCAGTTGCGTTTGCATATCTATGTTTCAGTTTGAAAATGTGATATGGCAATGAAATTACAGGGCACAAAGGCACTTTAGTCATCAGGAACGGCAACCCATGATGGATATCAAAGGCAACAAAGTATATTCTGTTATGTCCATGGGTACCTTTCATATCATAGTCGACGGTTACCACTTTCCGCCAGATGACTAGCAACTCTATGGGCACGTACATACAAAGGCGTGATACTCACAGCGGTGCCATTAGAAGAGGGCCGCTGGTCAGCTAGCGCGGCATAGTGAGCCACCAGACCAAGGTCCGCGTGCCGGCGGCCCGACGAGCCCGCCCCCCGCGGCGACGTCGGACAACTGTTCGCCGCACTTATTGTACCTGAAACAAAATACGTTATTCAAATGCAATTGGAATGTAGACTTTATTTAAAAGGAATACGGGTTATTATGATGACAAAATACAAAAGTACATGTGCCGCATTCTACCTATAGGGGTGTATTATTTAAAGGAAAATATATTCGGGATATATTATGTTTCGTACTAAGTCATCTCAATATTTGATATGCCTATGTTCAGCAGTGGACAGATAATGGCTGAGATGATGATGATGATGATGATGATGATGACCTCTCATTATTGTATTAAAAACTAGCTATTATTAATCATTATATTCCGTTATTTCACCCGCATAAATCAGTACATAAAATGGCAAAGTTAGGACATAATCTTCACGTATACCAAATTTCATTAAAAACCATTCAGTAGTTTTTGCATGAAAGAGTAACAAACATCTATCCATCCCAGCCATCGTTACAAACTATCCCAATTATTATATTAATAGGATTACTTTTCTCATACATTATTGCATATTAAATTTATTCATCACTAGCGACCCGCCCCGGCTTCGCACGGGTGCAGTGCTGATACTAAATATATATACTACAGAATGTCCTTATAAACAACGTTTATAATTTTTTTGTCATTACACAAATGGAACTGAAAACTGTAGTAATAATGTGAATAATTATATAATAATAATAACCCATGTAAATAACATTACAGGAATATAAGATTTTAATAAACTATTGCGTATAGGAATATCTTTGTTTGTTCTTATCTCCACTGTAGCTTAAAGGCGGGAGTCGTAGTACTACGATTTATCTCGACTGTAGCTTAAAGGCGGGAGTCGTAGTACTACGATTTATCTCGACTGTAGCTTAAAGGCGGGAGTCGTAGTACTACGATTTATCTCGACTGTAGCTTAAAGACGGGAATCGTAGTACTACGATTTATCTCGACCGTAGCTTAAAGGCGGGAGTCTTAGTACTACGATTTATCTCGACTATAGCTTAAAGGCGGGAGTCGTAGTACTACGATTTACGAGTATCTCGACTGTAGCTAAAGGCGGGAGTCGTGGTAATACGATTTATCTCGACTGTAGCTTAAAGGCGGGAGTCGTAGTACTACGATTTATCTCGACTGTAGCTTAAAGGCGGAAGTCGTAATACTACGATTTATGTGGACTGTAGCTTATCCAGTTAACTGTGATTGACGAGTACACTCATCATGTAGAAGTGCATACTTTTATCAAGATTTCGCCTTTAATGTGTTAAGATAAAAGAGGTCTATTAAATGTGTAACTCAATTAGCAGATCCTAGCTAAGTTTGTATGAAGTTCGTTCCATTAACTCGACAAACGTTTGCAGATAAATAAATCCTTTAGATATAAGTAAATGAAGCGTTACAAGTTTACCAACTTGTTTAGTGAACATACAAGTTGGGCTTTAAACAAACTTAGGAATATATTACTTAACATGTGACACGTTTTGAAAACTTACCGTAACATATTTATATATATTTATTTATGAATATACCTACTGTAGGGGAATAATAAATTTACGAACATAACCAGCTTACAAAAATATAAAACGAATCGCTAGGTTTTCTTAAGCGTAGCGTAAGGCAATAGACTCACCTGTCGGCGAGGGCGCAGGACTCCGACCATCATTCTCCACTGGTATTGTGATGCGGAGAGGTGGCAGCGGGGGCCCCGAGCTGCCGCCCGCGCCGCCCTCCTCCACGAGCGACTGGAACTCCAGCCGGATGTTCGTGGAAGGGAACCGTAACGTGCATCTGAAAATCGAAGAGAATTCACTTTATAAAGTGATATTTTTTTATTTCGTATATCCTCCCAATCCCATACAAATATGGATATTGACCTATATTGAACCATAATTTAAAACTAATATTAAATTGTATTATGAATAGGAACACGTCATAATTTTATATTTATTTTAAAACATCACATTATCAATCGAATTTATGAGACAGAAACTTGTTAAAAAGTTTACCAGACATGTTAATAAAATTGAAACTTGCAATAAAATACAATTTTTAATTTACTCAATTTTTAAATAGTGGAACTAAATGGTTGAACTCTACGAATACACATGAATATAATTTCCCTTTCCGTTCTTTTTTACTAGTAGAACCTTTTTAGTTCGTTTTGTTCTACTAATAGACCAGAAGGATTTTTTTAGTTCGTTTTGTTCTACTAATAGACCAAAACGGATTGTTTAGTTCGTCTTGTTCTACTAGAAAATCATAACAGATTTTTTAGTTCGTTCTGTTCTACTAGTAGGCCAGAACGAATTTTTTAGGCAGTTTTGTTCTACTAACAGACCAGAAAGAATTTTTTAGACCGTTTTGTTCTATTATTAGAACAGAATGAATTTTTTAGTTCATTTTGTTCTATTAGTAGACCAGAAGGGATTTTTTTTAGTTCTACTAGTAAAACTACATTATAGAACAATACGAATAATAATTTACAAAACTTTTATATGGTTATAATAGATAGATAATCTTATTATATTGATCCTTCCATATAGCTGCAGTAGAATATGTAAAACTAACATAGATGGGTATTGTAGATGACATACTTTTCACCGATGTTATGAAAATTAAATGAAAAATACAGGTCGGCTGCACCGTTTTATAATTTTCTTGGAAATCATACAATCCATAAATTACTTAATAGCCAGTGGCGCGACTGGCGCCCGCCATGGGGCTACTTTCCATGTACTAGAAACGATAGTACAAAATTAATAATCTATAATTTTCATTTATCGTTATGGATATTTGTTCGACTAATGTGGGGTTACAAGTAAAAAAATGTGCTTACGGGATTATACAAAAAAAATGGCAATAATAACTGAAATAATCTCGACTTTTTTTTATTGATAGGATTTACTTTAATTTTTTTTTATAGATGAAAATACAATGGTAACCCCACCTGCGATATAGGAATACGCTGGCGAAGCCACCAGTGAGAGAATACGTGAAGATGAAAACAGGTCAGCTGACCCATCATGACGAATTGAACAAGAATTAACCATGATGGTTTCCAGGAAAAACCGCCAATTAAAGGGTTGTTAGACTATATTACTAGCAATCCCTTTCCCCCTTTACTCATATATTGGTCCCATATTAATTTTATGACGGTTGCGCAGTGCAGTAGTACATTTATTGAATAAGCAAAACATAAAACTGTCATCCGGGGCGCATGGCGTTTGTCATGGCCGGTCGCCATGGCAACACTCTTGCATCCTCATTATGAGATGAGACAGCTACCAAGTCTGACGCAACAGTAGGTCAACGGTCGCGCCTGTTATTGTTTCATATGTAAAATCAGTTTCAAAACAATTTAATGAAAAGGTATCCAAGTTCCGTTTCCGTGTGGTCCCAGCATATAATGGGCCACCCATTCCTTTCCCGTGAGTGTCGTAAGAGACGACAATGGGAACTTAATGGTCAAAGGATGGGCAGCAGCGTTCCTTTTAAAATTCACAATGAGCCCAACTCCGGTTGCCAATCCGCCTGTCAAGCGTGCCAACTATAGGCAAAATTCCCCCAATAAAACTGCCATAAAGAACGTTAACTTTATGGCAGTCTATTAGGAGGCCTATGTTCACCAGTGAACAGATAACAGCTGATATGAGGGGCGGGGGGAGAAAGGAATTGTCAGTAATGCGAACTACCAATCCCATATTAGATCAAACTCCCAGAGGTCACCCTGGAAATCACCGTCTTTTTCAATGGCATTTCGAAAATGGTAGAATTAAAATTCCTGCTTATACAAACATTTACATTTTCAATTTGAAATATATATGTATATAGAAAGTTTTTTTGAAAAAAGTCCAAATTCAAAACGGTCTCAGGGTTCGGGGTCACATGAACTGGAAACTCTCTCAATCTCTGATTTCTCACCCAGGATTAAACTCGCGTCCTATCCACACAGGTAACCACTAGGTAACAACTGAATTAATTAAAATACATAAATGCGGTGCCACATATAAAAATAAAACACGCCACAATAACCACGAGCGAAAACTCAGCCGAGCTAGTAACGTAAAAAAATGGACGAAGACTAATTGGAGCTTAAATAAAAATCGGTAAAAAAACTTTTAAGTTAAACGGTTTTATTTTATGTGCACTGAAAACTACAAAATAAATAAATAGTTACTTACCTATCAACCTACGTAGGTGATCTCGGTCATTAATATCTCTGATGGTAGTGGTTGTCATAACATGAACCATGTCAGCGGCCGAAAGGCAGTTCATGAGAGAACACTAACACCAGGGTTTGCTTGGTAGGTAAACTAAGCAGCCCGCACTATAACAAGTAGGTATTTTGACCTTCTAGTTCAGAAATATTTTAGTACTAGGCAGAATAGCTTTTAGGCATATTAGACTAAAATAAAAACGTGGGGCCCATTAACTATTTCTGTATTACTTTCTACTATACTAAGTGTGGATTGCATCGACTTATTATAATCGTCATCATCATCATCCTAGCAGTTTATCCCGGTCGCATCCGAAACCTCGTAGCTCCGGAGTCCAGGGTCCGCTGAATCGACTTACTATAATCGTAACTGGAGGTTTTGACCATCAATAACCAGCCGTTACGGCTTCACCAGCGAACGCCGAGCTCATGATCTACCAAAGTATAAGATATGCTCTGCTATAGGTATGATTTCAGAGGGGCCCCACGTTTTTATTTTAGTCTAATATGCCTAAAAGCTATTCTGCCTAGTACTAAAATATTTCTGAACTAGAAGGTCAAAATACCTACTTGTTATAGTGCGGGCTGCTTAGTTTACCTACCAAGCAAACCCTGGTGTTAGTGTTCTCTCATGAACTGCCTTTCGGCCGCTGACATGGTTCATGTTATGACAACCACTACCATCAGAGATATTAATGACCGAGATCACCTACGTAGGTTGATAGGTAAGTAACTATTTATTTATTTTGTAGTTTTCAGTGCACATAAAATAAAACCGTTTAACTTAAAAGTTTTTTTACCGATTTTTATTTTCTTGTTTTTAGTATTTAGTGAAATTGTTTACCGAATATTCCTCATTTTATTTAATTCATTCAGTGCATCATTATTACATGGTTTCTTACCTGATAATTTAGTACAATCTAATTCCTCAATACATAGCCCTTCCAGAGACTTGACTCGACTTAGAGCCACGTATGCTTGTCCTTCCTCAAACCATTTTGAGCCCAAATATACTACTGCATGGTCGACGGTGCTGCCCTGCATTTTATGGACGGTGAATGCTCATGACAAAACTAAGGGCAACATCCTTTTTTTCAGCCGTACCATAATTGAATTTTGCTGGAAACTGTATGGCTTTAGGGTAAATAACGTGCATGCCGTCTGTGCCAAAGTCAATTAAAACTGATGATATATCTGTTTCGTACATTTGGGTTCGACGGAACTGAGGCCAAAAAGGTGTCTGAGTGTCAAGTGTCTGAGAGTCTAGTGTCTGAGTGTCTTGTATCCGAGTGTCCAGTGTCTGAGTGTCTAGTGTCTAGTGTTTAGTATCTGAGTGTCGAGTGTCGAGTGTCGAGTGTCTAGTGTCTGAGTGTCGAGTGTCTGAGTGTCTAGTATCTAGTGTCTAGTGTCTAGTGTTTAGTGTCTGAGTGTCGAGTGTCGAGTGTCGACTGTCGAGTGTCGAGTGTCGACTGTCGACTGTCGAGTGTCGAGTGTCGACTGTCGAGTGTCGAGTGTCGAGTGTCGAGTGTCTAGTGTCTGAGTGTCTAGTGTCTGAGTGTCTGAGTGCCTGAGTGTCTGAGTGTCTAGTGTCGAGTGTCTGAGTGTCTAGTGTCTGAGTGTCGAGTGTCGAGTGTCGAGTGTCGAGTGTCGAGTGTCGAGTGTCGAGTGTCGAGTGTCAAGTGTCGAGTGTCGAGTGTCGAGTGTCGAGTATCGAGTGTCGAGTGTCTAGTGTCAGAGTGTCTAGTGTCTGGGTGTCTGAGTGTCAAGTGTCTGAGAGTCTAGTGTCTGAGTGTCTTGTATCCGAGGGTCTAGTGTCTGAGTGTCTAGTGTCTGGGTGTCTGAGTGTCTAGTGTCTAAGTGTCGAGTGTCGAGTGTCGAGTGTCGAGTGTCGAGTGTCAAGTGTCGAGTGTTGAGTGTCGAGTGTCTAGTGTCTGAGTGTCTAACGTCTGGGTGTCTGAGTGTCAAGTGTCTGAGAGTCTAGTGTCTGAGTGTCTTGTATCCGAGTGTCTAGTGTCTGAGTGTCTAGTGTCTGGGTGTCTGAGTGTCTAGTGTCTAAGTGTCGAGTGTCGAGTGTCGAGTGTCGAGTTTCGAGTGTCTAGTGTCTGAGTGTCTAGTGTCTGGGTGTCTGAGTGTCAAGTGTCTGAGAGTCTAGTGTCTGAGTGTCTTATATCCGAGTGTCGGAGTGTCTAGTGTTTAGTATTTGAGTGTCGAGTGTCGAGTGTCGAGTGTCTAGTGTCTGAGTGTCGAGTGTCTGAGTGTCTAGTGTCTAGTGTTTAGTGTCTGATTGTCTAGTGTCTAGTGTCTAGTGTTTAGTGTCTGAGTGTCGAGTGTCGAGTGTCGAGTGACGAGTGTCTAGTGTCTAGTGTCTGAGTGTCGAGTGTCTGAGTGTCTTGTGTCTGGTGTTTAGTGTCTGAGTGTCGAGTGTCGAGTGTCTAGTGTCTGAGTGTCTAGTGTCCGAGTGTCTAGTGTCTGAGTGTCTTGTATCCGAGTGTCTAGTGTCTGTGTGTCTAGGGTCTGAGTGTCTGAGTGTCTAGTGTCTGAGGGTCTAGCGTCTGAGTGTCTAGTGTCCGAG